TTCAATGTGTGATGCTGTCCTGTCCCACTGGTTGTATTTATTCAAGTTCATTTTCATAGTGGAGTATTTCTAGAGCATATAAAACGATAAGGATTTAAATGTCCCAGGGTGTTGTTCCTCCTTTCTGAGCTGCTGTGACTCTGCTGATGTGCGGTTGCCGTGGTGTTTAAGACATGGCATGACATGTTTGGCACTTTGGATTTAAGCTGATACATACATGTGACAAGCATGCACACGGCTGCTCAGCATTGCATAGATGAAACATGGTTGCTTAATAAGTGGTGATGTTGTGTGTGTTGTAGGAGAGGCTGATGTCTCTGTAGGATGGAGGCAGATGGGCTCTGAACTGTGTGGCTGACTCAAACAGAGAAGAGGAGCTACCTTGATTCATAGAATCATTATGGTTGGAAAAGACAGCTATGATCATCTCATCCAACCATCAACCCATCACCACCATGCCCACTCAGCCATGTCACTAAGCTTGTGTTAGTCTTTTTCTGCCTTCTGCATCCTAGACTTTTTTTGGTGGCAAGGGTGAACTAACTGAGACAGGGGAGGTTTAGGTTGGATATTAGGAGGAAGTTTTTCCACACAGAGAGTGGTGATGCACTGGAACAGGTTGCCCAAGGAGGCTGTGGATGCCCCATCCATGGAGGCATTCAAGGCCAGGCTGGATGTGGCTCTGGGCAGCCTGGGCTGCTGGTCGGCAGCACATAGGAGGGGGGTTGAACCTAGATGAGCATTGTGGTCCTTTGCAACCCAGGCCATTCTATGATTCTGTGAAATTATTCTAGCCTGGAAATCCCTCCAGGTTTGAAAGCATGGTGTAGACATTCACCCACCTGTCCTAGTGCTCCAGTGTTGCTGTGAGCAAAGTGATGGCATTTCACAAGGTTGAAGTGTCCTGTAAGTAGGAGCTGGATTTAAGTGTTTCTGATAGGACCATTCAACAAGAGGTGGAGAGTCTTTGGAAGCTGGGGAATGAGATAGGAAATAGAAAGGCTTTGCCAAGATTCATTTTGGCTGGTGGGTGGCAAGGTGCTTGTAGGCAGCAGTTCTCCATCACACATCGCCTTGAGGAGCTGGATTGTGACTGACAGCAGCAGAGGAGGCAGTCTGGGAAAGATATTTTTCTAGGATTTTCACTATAACTGCCTCGTAACATTCTTGAGCCCTTCCCTGCCCTTCATGGAGAAGCTTTATGGGATGGTTGGGATGCACCACGCTTGCACAGTGGCCATATGAAAATCCACATGCTGGATTTTGTGAGCTGGTGCATTCATGAGAATAGAGACAATGAAAACTTTTTATACTTGGGTCCATCAGTGCATGACACCCACGTTCTTCCAGCCACAAGTCGATGAAGAGCTAGGAGTGGGCCAGGAAAAATAAAAGAATGGACTTATTCATTAGGGGATTTGTTCATTGCTATTTAAGTCCAAAGACTTTCCTAAATATATGCACCTAGTAAAATTTGAGATGCCCTGGCAGATATGTCTGGAGAGGCAGCTGGTGGCAAAGTACAATGTTTTACAGTGCCTAAAGTAACATTAGATACAAATTTTTAGACACCTGAATTGTACTCTGAGGATGAGATTCTGCTAACACGTTCTCATATCTAAGTTTATGTGCTTCCCTGAGAGCAGAGTTCCAGAGCTCCTGTTAGTGAGCAGAAATGTGGTCAGCACAGCCGTGGGAACCTGAAGAGATGTTCAGCTGAGCCCGTGAAGGTGTCTGCTGCCCTTTAGGCTGCCCTGCCTGCCTTGGCTCCAGTGGATCGGCTGGGAGTTGAGAGATGTTTCTCAAATGTAGGCCGGATATCTGCTTTGGTGAGGTCAACCCTGGTTGGATGTTGTGATTTAGATGTCTAAACCAACGTGCCTAAACCGACATGCCTATTCCTACTTGAAGGTCTCAGGCCACCTGCTAGCTGCTGCTCCATTGGAATGTGGATTTCCAGCACGTATCGTGCCACACTTGCCAGCCCCATGTGCTGCCTTGGGTACCTGTTGGTATTCGTGCCTTGAGTGCCAGCTCTCTCACTAAGCTTTGGAGAGGTGTCTCTTGACAAGAATAACCCTGTGTTTGAGTTCCCACCCTTCATTTCATGTCTGCACCTTGTTCACCCAGCTTTAAATCCAGCCAAGGGCTGTGGGTACCAGCTGAGCCAAGTCTTCTTGGTTGCTTGCTTTCCCATCTCTACACAATGGCATTCATCTCTTTTTCCAGGTGGAGCAGATGCACATGGGTGCTGGGGGTGGCAAGAGGGTTGAGAACAGCCTGAACAGAAGAATAAGTGCAGTGTGTAGCCCTTCTGCAAGTATCTCAGCAATGTTGCCCATTTTGCTGATGGCTTGGGCGTGAAATCAGGTATAGGAGCTTTGTTTCACATGAGCTCAGCTCTCATTTCTGGACAACCAGTGCAATGTGACTTTATGTGAGGGAAAACATGGATGAGGATTGCTGTTTTGTTGTGTTTTTTTTTTTTCTTTCTTTCTTTCTTTTCTTGGTGTTGAAATGTGTTCTGTACGCTCTTGTCTAACATTGTGGGATTTCTTGCAGAGTTGGCTAGACGCTTTGGCACGCAAAGCGTGACAAGCCCCTAACCAAGCTGGCCCAGCTGAGTACTATAAGCAATAACACATCTCTCTCTGTAACCCATCACTTGTTTGAATGCTACTGTGTATTATTGGATTGCATTTGAAAAGGTCTTGGCTGTCACAGGAATGAAGTGTGACCATTGGCCAGGCTTTGCTGAAGGACGTATTATGCATAGTGTCTTTCTAAAAATGTCTCTGTAATATCAGGATTGGGCCAGACCCCAGCTCTGAGTCCATGACCTATTGCACATTTGTACATGGTGCTCAGCAGGACTCATGTAGCCAAATAATTAAGAACCGCATGGTCAGGAAATGGATTGGAGCCAGTCCTCTGCTGTCATGAGGCCTTAATGTAGGCAGATGCCATAATGGGCTGAGGGGGAAATTTTTTTCTTCTTTAGAAACCATAGATGCCCCATTGTAGGGCATTTCTCAGCAGTACCTCGACAGGAGGCAGCTCTATAAAACAGACTCTGTTCTAGGTGGCTATTTTAAGGGATGGTTATCCTTCAGCCATTTAAAGTCAAAATGTGAACGATTTTGGTGGGAGGGAGATCTATAAATATCTGTTTATAATCTGTGGGCAAAATACAGGTTATCTGTGACAGTCCTAACATACCTGCTGTCATGTTGCCCATGGGCTAGTCCTAGGAGTAAACCCTTCTCTGGGGAAGGTCAGGGAAAGCATTCATGGAATAACCCAAATTGGAAGGGACCCATAAGAATTGTTGAGTCCGACACCATCCAGATGCCACTTAGAAGAAGATGGATATGCTGTTTATTGCCAACAAGTATCTTTATTGCAGCCTAATTTGAAAAGGGTACTTGTTTAGCATCATCGGGCATATGGACATATGGTCTTCTGTGGCACCTAGGAAGCTGGTACCATCTCTTTTTGAGCTGAGTAATGAATGAGTAACTCCCTGCATTCATCTCTTCCCTTCCTGATACTGTGCTTACTTCCCATGCTGCTGCTTCTGTTGAAAATGACCTATTTCCCTCCTCTCCCCTCCACATACCATAGTTCCACAGGTTCTTCCTTTTGTATTTATGCTTTGTGCTAGCTCTGTGCAAGATGTCCCCATGCAAGGTCTGGGCATCTTCCTATATGTAGAATGGCTTATGTTTTGGAAGCAAGTCCCACATGCTTTGTGATATCTTGAACAAATTATTTTCCTCCTATAGAGATCTGTGAGATAATTCTTTATATATATATATATGTTTTTTTTTTTTTTAAAGTACAAATATATTAAGAAAGAATTTGAAACTAAACCATGCCCTTAATAGTTGCAGACAAGAGGTGTGAGCAGACAGAATTCAACGTAGCAGTACTGATGTGGAGGGTCCACTTCATTTTCCAGAGATTTAATACTTTTCTTTTCTCCACTGTGAGTTTGAAGACCTCAGCACTAAGTGCTTTAATTCTTTTATTGTATTATTACTTTTTTTTTTTTTTTTTTTTTTAATGCTTGATGTGGGGCAGCTTCTGTGTATACAGGATCGGGTAGGTAGTACAACCTTTAGTGCATGAGGTCTGTTCTCATAGCCAGGACTGAAAGTTTAACACCCCCTTACCTCTCTACTGGGTGTCTGCCCCATATTCTTTACAGACATTGTGCAGAAATGGAGGCTCTGCTCCCCCAGCCCTCCCTGAGGCCACCAGCCCTGTCATAGTCCCTGCTGGGAATATATGATGGGGACGCCTCACTGCAACCTAGGTCTTATGTGTTGCCCTTGAAACTGGCTGTGTGAGAAGCCAAATTCCTCTTCCTAGCAGTTACGTGAAGATTTTCCTTGCTGATGAAGTGAACTGGGTGGGATGCTATGCCTTGCTGTTGCTCGTAACAGCTTAAGTGCATTTCCACTGAGCCTGTGATGCTAATTCAGAGCTACATGGGTTTAAGGTGGTGATGTGTGCTGTGCGCACAACACACACACATTCTGGAGTGCCATTGCCTCTCTGTGGGGTTTCCAGCAGCACTCTCATCATTTTCTTGGTGAAAGCAACTCACCTTTGCTACAGTTTAACTCCTGATCTTAACTCCTTGTTCCTATTAAAATGTCTAAATAGGCATTAAAATACATATTAATCCCTGACTGTGTAAGATGAATGTCAGTACTGAACAGTCTTTGAATGCTTTAGTATTAACTATCATTAACTAGCCATGTAAAGCAGTATTCTGGCAGGTGTCATTACTGGAAACTTGAGACCCTTCTCAAGAGTGTAGAGTGTTTTCTGTCTTCTTCCAGCAGATGGTTTTTGTGTTGTCATCCTTCCTATGTTCCAGAAGTCTTCTTCTAACAAACGTGGTTTTTTTTCTCTGTTTGTTTTTTTTTGCTCTATGCTTTGATTTCTCTCCCCCTTAACTGATTTTCTTTTGGGGATGTGTGTGTCTGCAGGTCATCAAAGCTGGTGTGGAGACAACCTGTAAGTGCCACGGTGTGTCTGGGTCCTGCACTGTCCGAACGTGCTGGAGGCAGCTCTCTCCATTCCACGAAATAGGGAAGCAGCTGAAGCAGAAGTACGAGACGTCGCTCAAAGTGGGCAGCACTACCAACGAGGCCACGGGGGAAGGAGACATTTCCCCACCCAAGAAATCCATCCCCGGTCACAGTGATCAAATCCCAAGGACTACGGATCTTGTCTACATTGACGATTCCCCAAGCTTTTGTCTGATGAGCAGATACTCGCCCGGGACTTCGGGAAGGAAATGTTACAAAGACAAGAACTGTGACAGCATCTGCTGTGGGCGAGGGCACAATACGCAGAGCCGGGTGGTCACTCGGCCGTGCCAGTGCCAGGTCCGTTGGTGCTGCTACGTGGAATGCAAGCAATGCACCCAGAGAGAGGAGGTTTACACCTGTAAAGACTGACACATCTTCTGCCCGATGGCGACCCTCGGCGGCGGGCGATCACGATCTATGAGAACTACATATGGAGACAAACAGGGTTTGATTGACCTTCTGGGATCTGAAAGCTATGTTGAGACATAAGCACTTTGTAGGGTACAGGTGACCCAGCTGTGTTGCTGTTTTGTTTTTCTTTTTTTTCCTGTAGACTGAATTCTAATGAGGTCCAACCATGTGGAAATAAGTGCCTGTCACACTGGGGCTAGACACCAGTTGACCTTTACCTTCGTCGTCCATGCAGTTGGATGGATCATTTCTCCTTGGAACATCATGATTGTTTCATCAGTCCTCCATAAACTTCTGAGCTGATTAATTCTTTCTGGAATAATTAACCTATATTGCTTTATTCCTGAAGCTTACCCAGCTGCTTAGAGAGCTGGACAGATTAAAAAAAAAAAAAAAAAAAAAAAAAAAAGATCTTTCTGCTTTGAATGCAAAGGTATGAAGACACAAGAAGTGATCATTTTTTCCCTCTTCTAAAGCTGAGGAGAAGGAAGGGTGCAGTAAGCAAAAACAGCCCTTGTAGAGGTTGTTCCTCTAATGACACTTCTGCACATCCAGCAAACAAGGCTCTGACAAAGAGGCCCACTTGGATGGTAAGCTTTTTAATGACAGCTCCATATCCACGTGCTTTAATCACTAAATACAGTCGGGTCCACCATGTTGCAGATGGCAATATATCCAAGAAAGAGGTTGGGAAGACATTATGATACCAGATGTGCCTGTCCCCTTCAGTCCTTCAGTCGTCTTATTTTTTTTTCATACAGTTTCTTCAAATGCAGTTCCTTCAGCACTATCACTGTCTTAATTTTTATTTAAAAACAAACAAACAAACAAACCACTAGATAATTTTATTTTCCCTTTGTGCATGACATTTTTCTCTCCTCTTCCCACCTCTTAATGATTGAATTCACCCTGTGGAAATTGCTTCAGAAATCTAAACTGGAACTTTTTAGTCTTATGTCAGCTGAATTTGGACATATATTTTTGAGGAGGACAAGAGAAATTCCAGTGCATCTTGGAACGCAGCAATGTCTTGCATTGTATAGCAGCTGTTTTGGACTGGATCGGACCGTTGGAGGATTTGACTTTTCTTTTACTAGGTCATCATTCCATTTACTCTTAACTACAGCGGTGGTACATGACACAAGCTGTATAACCCTATGACCTTAAGATTTGTTTTAACCACTAGATTGAGAACTGTATTTTAAAAATACAGTTGCTAAATGGTAACCAACTGTTGGATTTAGAACATCTTATCAACGCAAAGACAACCCAGCAAGTGGCCAGAGAAGCCAGAAGTCAACTGCAGAGGTAGATTGCTCTGATGCTGTGAAATAGATGACAATCTTCAGCAGTTCTTTTTCCCTTTGAAGAGGATATTTTCAATCCAGGACTTGATGCAATAATATCTGTTAGTCATATAAAAGTGCTTCTGGGATTGGAAGTGGCTGATGAATGCCTCAACAAAGCTTTCTGAGGAAACACTGGAGAGCGGAGGGCATTGTATTGTATTTTTATATCAGCTTTTGATTGTCCAGTAGTAGCAATTTCCACCCATTTTATACTGACCATTGATCTGGTTCTCAAAAGAGGAAAGCTGGTGGAGTTTTTCAAGTAGCAGTAGAGGTTGGCCAAGCAAAAAGAGAGCAGTTTTTCAAGATGGACCATTATTTTTCAAGGCATTGTGTTGTTTTCTTTTTTTTTTAAAAAAACTTTCTTTTTTCTTTTTTTTTTCTTTTTTTCTTTCCCCAAACAATAGCCACTAATATTTAAGCTGTTTATGTGCATCTACTGGGAGGAAAAAAGGTTATTTTTTTTTTTCTTGGTAACAGATAACTGCAGCCCAACCTGACTTATTGGCATCAAATCTAGAGGTAGGGAACTCGGGAGGGACAGGAGGTTACTTTTAGTAGTGCTGTGGTCCTGCAAAGTAAAGCATAGTGGCTCTTTTTTTGATATTTGTTTATTTGCTGTACAAATCTGGAGATTGTGGTAGTGCTGTAGAAGGAGTAATCCACACGAGGAGTGGTGCACACACAGTATTTGTCCCTTCCACCACGACAGATGCCTGGTGGAGCATCCGAGGAAGGTCTCACGGCTTCTGGGAGATGCACCTCTTTGAAAGTCACTCGCAAGCAGTTTATCTAATGGTTTAAAAAACAAACTGACTAGAAACCTATTACTCAGTGTCTGCATGCGAGTATGTATCTACGCTCATGCAGACACATAAATAAATATATAAAGATTGAACGAACATTTATTTATTTTAAAGCCCTTCAGAAGGACCTTCTTATGGTTTCAATGTGGTATTATGTTAAATTCTTTCTCCCTCTCTCTCGCACGCACACACACATATGTGCATATGTGCAAACTCTTCGTTTCGTTTTGTTTTTGTGTGTGTGTATGTGTGTGCTAGGATAGCTCTTCCCCTCCAAAGTAAGGCTGGATCCAAACCTGCCCAAAACATGAGGGTTTGTGGATCTGAATTACTATTTCTGGCCCAGTTCTTTTTTTTACATATTTGTTCTTTGTTAAATATTGGGCCACAACTTATGTGCATTATTATTATTATTATTAATTATTATTATTATTATTGTTGTATTTAAACCGTGGGCCTCATTTTCCTTCTTTTCACTGGTGTCTCTGTCTCCGTTGACCTCGCTGGAGTAACTCCACATTGCACTGGTGTGAGAGGAGAATGAGTCCCTAGATGCAGAAGAGAGGGTAGAGCTGGCATGGATATCATTGTAGAGAAAATACCTGTGTCTGTGGGGTAGGGTAGCATGGTGTGTTAGGGGGGAGAGAGATGGGTGGGCAATGAGCAGGCTGCCAAAGCTAGACTAGAAGAACGAGGCAAAGAGTGAATGAACTACTGAGTGAAAGAGCTCTTCTGTGTATTATAATTCACGCACTGAAGCCTGGATGCTTTCTGTAAGTATTTAAAAACAAAAACAAAAAAAAACAAAAACACCCTAAAAACAAACAAACAAATAAAAAAAAAAAAAAGCATTAAAAAAAAAAAAACCAAACACACAAAAACAAACAAATTGTATTTATGTTAATGTGGATATATTACTTGCCTGTTGTATATTGTAAATAGCGAGGTTTATTCTCCTGTGGTTAAAAAGAAATAATTATAAATGACTAAATAGTAGCGAGGCACATGTGTTAAATGTATAGGCAGTGTATAAAATGTACTAACACTCTGAAATCAGGAGAACTTGTCTTCTTGGCCTTTTGACCTAGGGTGGTAAAACATACGTGGGTTATTCCTCTTCTCCCCTCACCTTGTTGTGTGTGTTCCTTGGGTGGCACGGGGGGATGTTTAACTCCAGCATTTTCCGATGTTTGCCTTATCTTTGAAGAAAGAATTTGGGGAAAAAAGCTTGTTTTGGAAGAATCCCATGGAGCTTGAGTGGCATTGAGGCATGAGCAGGTAGAAGGAATATTGGTAAACCTGCTCAAAACTCTTTTGAGATCTTAGTCTGGGTTTTCTGCAGGAAACCCTGAAGGCCTCTGTCAGACACTGACTGCTTCCTTTGGGCTACAGCTGTTTCATATTGGATTTTTCCAGAGAGGCTAATTCTACCCCCACACCATTGGATCTCCAGTGCAATTCAATGAAATTGCTCATATTTGCAAAACTACTATAGGAGTCGATTTGGGAATCTTTCATGATATCACTTCATAAAAACGAAACAAAACCACAAACGAGTGCAAAGCAACTTTTTCTCTTCTTCCCCCCTCTCTGCCCCTGAGAAACAGATTTTTGCAGTAAATGTAACTGGAGAAGGATAGATGGGTGTAGGGGAGGTCTGTGGCTTCTGATCTCCTTTCACCTCCTATCCCCCAAAAGTGTCAAAGTGTTGGTTCTCCTGATCTGATCCAGCAAGACTTGCAAGATCAGTTTTGGGGTGGGGGAGGGGAGGGGGGTGCAACCATTATTTATATAACTTTTTTATTATTTTTTTTTTTTTAAAGAGAAGTTAGCTGATGGAAGAATATTTTTATTGAATAGTGCATTTAGTTATGTCAGAAATATAAATATATATATATATAATATTTTTGTAAACAAGGCAAACTGAAAACGTTTGCTGTTTTATATTAGAATTTTCTATTAAAAGAAATAAAAAAAAAAAACCCCACACAAATAATTGTTGCACCCGTCATCTGTTTTTTAACAAGCTTCTATTCTTTTGACTGACTCATATATATTGGATGTGGAGATGTGCAAAACGAATCCTCAACGTTACATTCTCATTGTCTTCCAGCTCCCAAAAGACTTCATTTGGTGAAATGAGACATGTTTAAAGGGGATTTTTTTTTATGGACACTGAAAATGAATAATGGAGATGAACAGAATCGAAAAAAAAACCAACAAAAAACCCTACCCTGAAACCTCAAGCTTTTGATTTTTAGTTGTGCTTATTGGTCTTGGCATAGCTTTGGAGGGAGGAAATCCTATTTGCAGTAACTAAATATTTGCCATTGATCTCAGTTGGTCTGGGAAGGATGCATTCTGCAAGGGTAGCTGGAGAGAAAGCACCTGAGTGAGTGGGAAGTTCAAAAGGAGAGGACCAAATTCAAGGCTTGATCTAACAGAAGTGATTTGCATCAATTTGAATGTAAAACTGGGGAGCTGGAGCAGTTCAGGAAGCCTGTTGTTCAACTTTAGAAGCAAGGGATGAGCTATGGAGCATCTGTTTTCCAGAGATGGTTTGGAGATCCAGGGAGTGGAGAAACAATTTCTGAGGATTATTCATGGTTGTCCAGCTCATCCACTTCTGCCTTCCTTCATCCCAGGTCTTGAATTTCTTTGTTAATAATTTTTCAGCTGCCCTACTATAGCCGATGTATGAGAAGAAATTAGGTCGGTTTGGCCATAGTAGGGTTGGGTGAGAATCCAGATGAAGGGACAGATTTCTCAAGGGTACTTTCATGGTGTAGATGCTTCTTAAGGTAATTTTCTGGCAGATTATAGTGCCTGTGAAAAATTCCTTGGTTGCTGTTGCAGTAAAATTAGATCTATGCTGTACTTGCTAAAACAGGTGCAGTGAAGCTCTGCGTTCCCATCTTTTTGCTGCTGCATGCACA